TGAATCTGTCTGAATCCGTTTAAAATGAACTTTTATTATTCATTCCAAACTCTATTACAATTATATTTGATATCCAAACCCATTTAAATATCGTTCAATATTAAAAATGTTAGCTTTTAACTGCAGATCTAAGAAAAATTTGAGCTTTTAAGCATTTATAGTTTCTTAGTGTAATTAATTGGTTTTATCATGGATTAATCAGTTTTATTGATTTGAGAGAGAAATATAAACCTGATAATTTGCTCTTAGAAAAATATTAGTTTAATTGCAAAATATTTTGTCAAACACGTGAGCCGTCCCATCTAATGAAAAACACGTGACACGTCCCATAATTTCCATTGAAATACTTCGCAAGTTGGTCAATTAGTTCCTTTATAAGGTCCATGTCGTAATACCCGTTTATAATTTTGGCGGCTTCTTCGCATTTTCCCCTTCATTTACTCTTTCTGCAATTTTTAATATTTTATATTCAGCTATATATTCAATTATTATTAATTATTAGCTTTAATAATAATAAAATTATTTAATATGGTAGGTGTGAGGGTTGCAAGTGCTATGATATGTTCAATTGATTAATTTAATGATATTAGCTTTATATAATATTATAATTTTTATATCATAATAATAATAATAATTATTATTATTATTTAAAAGGAAATAACGATTATTATTATTATTAACCAATTGATGCTATAACCTGCTTCTTACAAATATAAATTTTGCTCTCCAATATTAAAAAAATAATATTAATACATTTAATTATATCTTAAAAATAACTATGCTATGCACACCAAGTCATCATACAGTGATAATTACATGTATAACTTAGTAATAGAGTTAAGTTTAAATCTCTTCTAATACTATAAAAAAATATATATATATATGCTCGCTGTAAGGACCTATTTGTAATTATATAAAAGCAGATCTTTGAAATGCAAATTTTGATCCTTTTTACCTTATTCTCCATTTTTGGCAATATGGACCAATCTATATCTTGGTTATTCAGTGCACGTTAAGGCCGATAATCAGTAAGCAAATGGTCTTTGACTCGTTCCTTGGCTTTTCTTTTCTTTGATTTATTTTTTTGGTCGAGTCAACTAGGTCATATTTTTATTATTTTCAATTCATATATATATATCTAATAATTGATGATTCAATGTAAGAGATCAAATTATAGCTGAATAGGGGCAAGCTAGACTTTAAAATTTAAAGAAGTCAAAATAAATTTTTTAAAAGTTAGGAGACCAAAATTAAGCAAAAAAAATTTTTATACTAATTTTTAAGACAAATTTAAAAAAAAAAAAATCTGAAGTTTGGGGCCAAGCAAAACAAATTTTTATACTAATTTTTTAAGAACAAATTGTAAAAAAAAAAAAAACTGAAGTTTGGGAGCCGTAGGGCTTGCCGGGCTCCCGCAGTCGCCCCGCCCCTCCGCCCAAATACTAAGACGTCAAGGTATTAAAGGTCTTTCACCACTTAAATAATTCAATCTTCTTCACCCCCCCCCCCCTCCGCCCAAATAGCTAAGAACCTCAGGTATTAAAGGTCTTCACCACTAAATAATCAATTTCCTTCAGTTTTTGGAGTATAAATCTCATTTTCTTCTTATATCTCTTATATCATTTTTATTTTTAGAAGAAATCAAATTAGAAATTTCATTAAGTGGAAATTGTATACAAGTATAACATGCAAATCAATATATTTTTATATTTTGTATAGGAGGTTTAATAATAAACAGCTTATATCACTACAAAAATTTCGGTTATTACCGACGGAATTTTCTATCGATAAAATACAAAAATCTGTCGGTAATTGGTTTGCTGACGAAATACCGATGGAAAATATTCATCGATAAAACCCTTGTCGGTAAAATATTATTAACCAAAAATTTATTCCGTCTGTAATTTAGTGGTGGGATATATTTATAATTTGGTTTTAATTGGTTTCGTTAGTAAATGGTTGTTAATCCATTGGTATTTTTAAAAAGATTTTAAAAAATAGAAATTTGAAATTATATTATTTTTGAATTTTTTAATATTTCATAATCAATAATCAAATCAATTAAATTAATTACGTCTTAATAATTACACCAATTAAATTTGATTAATAACTAAGCTAGTTAAAGAAAATTAATTATAAACACAAAAAAGGAAGAAAAAAAGAAAAAGAATAGAGAAAGAGGAGAAGAAAAAAATTTATAAAACACAAAAAAGGAAGAAAAAATAAGAAAAAAGATAGAGGAAGGACAAGAGGAGAGAAAAAAAAAAGAAGATCATAGAAGTAGAAAAAATAAAAAATACGAGGAGAAGGAGGAAAATAACATGAAGGAAAAAGGAAATAAGAAGGTGAAGGGAGAAGACGGAAAAAGAGAGAGATGATGGGTGAAATAGGAACTAGAAAAAAGAAGTAGAAAAATAAAAATAGAGGAGAAGGAGGAAAATGAACATGAAGGAAAAAGAAAAGAAGGTGAAGGAGAAGACGGAAAAGAAGAATGAGGGTGAAATAGAACTAGAAAAGAAGAAGAGGAAAAAAAAAAATAACACTAGAGGAAAAGGAGAAGAGAAGCAAAAATAAAAACATGAAGGAGAAGAAGAAAAAAACAAAAGGTGTAGAAGAAAAGTAAGAAAAGGAAAAAAAAAAAAAAAAGAGAAGTGAACATAAAGAATAAGAAGAAGAAAAAGAAGAAAGAAAGAAACAGAAAGAAGAAGAAGGAGGAGGAAAATGAAAGTAGAAATAAAATGATAGGAAAAGATGAAGGAGGGAGAAAAAGATATGAATTTATATTGTAGATTTTGCAATTACCGACGGAAATTTCATCGGTAATTGAAAATTTCTGTCACTAATTTCTTTATTTTTTCGCCTATTATGAAGCCAAAAATTTAAAATTTACCTATGGAATTTCAGTCGCTAAATTCTAAAATCCGTCAGTAAATTTGGTAATTTACCGTCCATTTGTACTGGATAAATTTTTAATTTTTTTTTGAATTTCGTCAGTAATCCGTCTGTGAATAGCTAGGGATTAGCGATGGAATATGTTTTGTCACTACTTTGTGGGAAATTGGTTGTGATCTGTCCATAAATTATTAAAAGTATGCGCAAATATATAGTGCTTTTTTTACCTATGAAATTTGAAATCCATTGGTAATATGTTGCTAATCTCTCGGTAGAAATAAAAAATTAGAGCGAATATTTGGTGCTCTTAATAGCCAACGGAATTTAAATCCATCAATAATTTATCGCTAATTACCAACGAAAAAAGTTCCATCGGTAATTGCCGAATTTTTTGTAGTATACAAAAAAATTTAAAAATACAATCTCGATTTGAAGTATTTGATCAAGCTGATAGAATATAATATTGGTGCCATAAACAATCACTTGCTCCACTTGTAACTATTTATAGCCATTATTCGACTCTATGGCCTTCTACTAGTCTGATCTGATTACTTTCAAATTTCTTTCTTCTATTAAAGGGGAGATCTGTACTTTTTTCTGCGTAACTATCTAAATAATAAAATACTTTAGACAAATTCACCATAATAGTAATAACAATAACTCAAAACTAGATCTGAGAACAAAATCTCAATATATAGGCAACAATAAATTCTAATATTTGCGACAATAATTCAGATTGGGAAAGGGATGACCACTGGCGAGAGCTCACCGGTGGCCGCCATTTAAAGAAGAGAAAAGAGTTTTTAAGTTTTAGGTTTTGAGAGAAAGAGAGTGGGGAATAAAGTACTTTTAAATATTGAGGGTTGACTAAATTCATTAATATGTTTTCCTTCTATTTTGATAAATCATATAAAAAGTTTTGAGATTTGGAGTTGTCAAAGTATATAATTCTTCTATTAAAAATATGATATTTTAGCAGCTAAATATAAGTGAAAATACAAAAATACTTTCTATTAAATAAAAAAAAAGTTTAAAATCTCTATTCATGTTCTTCTCTCTCATTCTCTTTATACGATCCAATATGTTATCTAGATCTAATTTCTGAAGTGATGTTTTCTTCAGATAATTGGAATTAGAGTTAAAAAACCGCAAATTTTACTATTATTTAGATCTCTCAATACTGATTTTAAAGATTTTTTATGAGATAACAATTTTTTCATGTTTATTTGATTTTTTTAAAAAAAAATTTTGTAGATTTATATGGGCTTAGTTGCAATTTTGATGTTCGAATTTTTAAAATTTTCTATTGTGTATAAATGAAAAAAAATATATAATTAGATGGTTAAATTTTTAATAATTTTACAATCAAGTAAAATGTACACACGTGGACAAACTAAAATTCAGCGTACGATGGCTGAATAGACTAAATCCTACAAGTTCATCTTTTTTTTTTTTTTTAATTTTTTTTTTAGCATCATTCATCATTTCCCATCGCAAGCCCCTTACGTGAATTAAAAGTCCAGAGGTCGAAATTCAACATTTCCCGTCAATATTAATAAACCATGGCAAAGTGTAAATTTTGAAGAAGCAAGGATTAGGTTGTGTTACGGATAACTTTTTAAATAGTTTTTAGTATTTTAATCAATTAAAATGCTAAATTTTTATTTTTTATAGTATCCGGTAACATATTATTTGAATTAGTTTTTAGAAATTAAAATAATATTTTATAAAAAACTATTGAAATAGCTATTAGTTATTCAAATAATTAAACTCTTATTAAAATTTAACAGCTAAATTTATCAAATAGACTCTTAATTGGAATAAATAAAAAAAAAAGTACAAAGAAGCCATTATTATTAGAATACAAATATTTAACATAAACATTATAATATACAACACTTGAACATTAGATTATTAAAATTATCCCAACAAAGATGGAATAAAAACCTGACAGAGTTGAAACAAAACTACAAAAAGAGTTGCTTTTTTTTTTTTTTTTTTTAAAAACCTGACAGAGTTGAAATAACAAACTACAAAAAGAGTTGCTTTTTTTTTTTCTGTTTTTTTGAGTTGATGCTTTTTTTTTTTTTTTTTTTTTGAGTTGATGCTCAAAAGATGCAGCAACGGTAGGGATCAGGTTCCTTAATGCACACAAACTCAGCGACACAGTGATGGGCACTGCCCTTACATGAACAAGGAGATTTATCTTTCTTCTCATCTTTCTTTTCGTCTTTCTTCTCCTCTACATTGGTCACGCTTACTAGCTCTGCGTGCACCATCTTACACTTTGGTAATACACAGGTGAGAAAGTTGGGCCATTTTGCTGACTTCTTCCTTAGCGAACTTGTAAGTTCTACTGGGTCTACTCCTTCTCCGATCACTTCTATCTGGTTTTTATCTTTTGCGCCTAATGCCACTGAGTGCACTCCTGATTGATGCGGCAATTACCAAATTAATGTCGTTTCATCAACAAATTAATTACTGTCGTTTCATCAACAAATTAATTACTCAATCTGAAAGTTAAAAGTTACACATAAGAGAATACTAGTAAATTTATATCTTCAATGAACACTTTATGAAAAAGTATAATTTGGGTGCCTAGGTTTCTAACAGAAAAACTGAACCAAATCAATGCTATTCGGTTAGGTTCCATTGGGTTACTTTTAATTTTTTGAAATTAAGCAAAATTTTCAAGTTTTCTTTTTAAAATTTTTATTTTTATTTTTATTTTATAGCATGAATAATAATAATAATAATAATAATAAATAATAATAATAATAATAATAATAACTATTGTTGGAAAAACTACAGTAAAAAAATCTTGAACATTTGTCTAAAAAAATTATAACAGAAATAAATTGAGAGTTACATAAATAATTGGTAATTTCATTTTTTTTTTTTTACTGTTTTTTTAAATTGACTTCGCGTATAGATGGTTTCAAAGGTTTTTTGTTTTTGGAATTATAAGCCCAATGGGCTTCCAACAAACATTAAAATTCAAGTTTTGTATCCCGCTTTCGTTCAGACAACCAAACATTCCAATATACATTTTGAACTTTGATTCAAAATTTTGTTTTAGGTTAATGTTCACGTAATAGTCTAACATAGAAAGCAACTAAAATAATTAGTACTTGAAATAGTTATTTCTAATTTATGAAATGGGTAACCTTAAACTTAAACTTTAAGTCTGTTAACGGTTTAAATTAGAAGTGTTTGGTAAAAATAGTTATTTAATTTAAAATTAAAAAAAAGAAAAGACATTACCAATTTAATTAGCTGAATTGGGAAAGAAAAAGACAACAGGTATAATTATCTAAATATTTGATTAATCTCCATGAAATACTAAACGTCACATTTACGTCTAAAAGCTATTATAGATAGTTAAATACTATATTATCAAATGATACAATTAAAAGAGATAGAGATAGTTAAATACTATATTATCAAATGATACAATTAAAAGAGATAGAGTCAAAACATCAAAGTCTTAATTTATTCTACTGTTTACTTCTCCATTCCACAAACTAAACAAAGCCTTAATTTTGAGCTTTCAGTCAAAACGACTGATATTTTATCAAGAAACCATTCAACAAGAAGCTAGCAAAAGCGTAATTAAATTAAAAGCAGTAGATTGTTAATTTTAAATTACCACAAACGCCGACAGCAATTTTCATAGCCTTGGAGCGATGCTTATCACACTGCAAGGACATTTGGACTACCATCTTTTTCTGCAACAGTCAACAGAAAATTTAAGCAATTTTTCATTTCTCATATAAAGAAAGTTTCCCAACAATATACATGTATATACACGAACCTTCATGGTTTTTGTCAGTTAGATGGAGGATGCACGAAACAAAGCAAAAGCTTGGGGACTGTGTTAATGGTGGTGGAGGGAGATGGTTGGGTGGGTGAGATACCGTTTGCTATTTATAAGCCCTCAATATATACGCTAACGTTTCTTTTTATCAATTTGAGCTTATTAAAACCTTGTAATTTTCCGAATATTTGACCTCTCAAAACTTATTGATAATATATATTATTCAAAATGTTATAAAATTGATCAATATTATTATGAATTTACAAAATAAATAATTAAGAAACACGGTCAACTTAAACAATAAATAACATACAATTATGAAAGAATCTACGTACCTAATATGCACAATGGTCTTCTAATGATGTCCAAATTTAAAAAAAAAAAAAAAAAAAAACAAATTTAAAAAAAAAAAAAAAAAAAAACTAAAAAAAAAAAAAAAAAAAAAATGGAATCATAGAAGCGCAGCCAGAAGTGAATAATGTATATTTTACGAATTGTATAAATCTTGATAAACATATGAGTTGATCCAAATACACCACTTGTCGGTTTAAGTAAACAAAGTTTGAATTGAGAAATTTACAAGATTGAACACCACTGTATCTTTCTTGTCCAGAAAATAAGAGCTTTTTTTTTTTAAACCGAAATCTAAATGTGTTGGAAATATTATACTATAATGTAGGAGTATGGTAGTCTTCCCATACAAATAACACTTGCCGAAAGTTATACGCATTTATTACTAAATTATACTTTGGTATACATTTATTTTATACTAGTTCAATTGCCAATAATTGGCATAGTGGTCCAACTTTGAAATAACTAATTTATATTTATATAGTAATTTATGGTAACTTAAGGATAATATTTTTAAATATCATTAAATAAAAATCTAAGGGTGGCTTCTATTATATTTTTAGCAATAAATGAGTATAAATATTGTTTTTCAATAAAAAAATAAAGAAAAAGATACTTCATATCGTCCTATCTATTCTTCTATGTACTAGGAGACAATGAAGCAATAATAAAAAATAATACTACTTCCTAAATATTTAGGCAATGGAAATGTATCGGAATAAGGTATTTGAAAGTAGAGACAAAATTCTCCAAAAAAAAAAAAAAAAAAAAAAAACAAAAAAAAAAAAAAAAAAAAAAAATAGAGACCAATTTTAGAAGTAATAAAAAAAAAAAAAAAAAAAAAAAAATAGAGACAATTTTAGAAGTAATGATTCATCGAGGAAAATACTTGTCTACACTTGATACATGCTATGAAAAAAAGAAATGTTAAAATTTAGTATTATTTTATTATTTTTCTTCAATGAAAAGACTCATGTACTTTATTTTCTTCAAATAATATTATTGGATCAGATTGATATATGAATACATTCATATACCAGATATAGATAAGTAATTGTTAAATAATAATTAAAATACACTTGTAAATAATATAATAGACATATTATTTTTGTATATATATTGAATTCCAACTTTGTCTAACACATGTTCAAAAAAAAGAAAAAAGCAAATGACATGTTGGAATTTAAAAGTTATATAAAAACATATATATGAATGCTACCAATTCTAGACGGTGAGTGATCTCGATTTCTATAAAGTTAAGAATATAAATTCAATATTTGAGAAAACATTTGTTAAAAGACAATAATTTTATACCTTACAGTGGAAGGAGATTAATCCACACCGAAAAAATGAAAGATAGCTCCAAATTTTACCCAAAAAAAAAAAAAGAGCAATATTGTATGCTGCTGTTTTTGCAATTCATGAAACGATTTTCACTCGAAGAAGGTCTATGGTAGGAGTAATATACCTGAAGGTTGACATGGAAAAAATGGCATTCCCAATGACTATAGGACCTCTTTCTTCATCTTTTCGTGAATAGGAAAGCTGCTCAACTTCACAAATAGGAAAGCTGCTCAACTTCACAAAACTACGTTAATATACCACAGATAGTCTTTTAATTTTCTTGTCGTGACAACATTAAATATACCATAGTCTGCCGATGAAGCTTTAGCTTAATGGCTAAAATGGAAGTCATGGGTTCAATTTACTTCCACAATAATAAATTAAGTATTGTAATAGTTATTTTTGCCTCTTATGGATCTAACTACTCTTAATGAGTTTTAATTTGATATAATTTGTCTTTTGCAGAAATTTAGAAAATGCATAGACATAGACATAGACATAGATCAGATAATTTATTTAACCTCTTGTCGGGTCGTTGTGTCCATAGAATCTGCATGCGTAGTATATAGTGTATAACCTTTGGACTGGGTCTGTCTCTGTCATTCGGAAAGTCTAACGCAGTCTCCTCATATGTAACCATTCTGTCTTTGGCTCTCTGGTTTCTTTTTCCTGCAATTATTTTCTAACAAATCCTTTGGAGTTATGTTTCAAAAAAAAAAAAAAAAAAAAAAAAAAAAAAAAAAAAAAAAAAAAAAAAAAAAAAAAAAAAAAAAGAATCTCATTGAGTTCACCGACTAATTCATATTTTTTTATTATTTTTAATTTTATTATACATCTATTGATGGTGATTATGATTGAATGTTTTTTTTTTCTTCTTTTGATTCTTACTAGATAGCAATGTATACGTCTAATGATGATGATGAACTTTTTTTCCATTCATTTAGTACATACATAGGAATATTAACAGAATAAGGTTGTCAAATTCCCGACTTTAGCGGTTTTGTTAAGTAAAATTAACAATTTTATTAGTAATTTAATAATTATTAGCGTTGTATTAACTTTTTCATTAAATATTAAAAGGAAAAATATTTGATAATATTACTCTCTTAAATTTTAAATACTAATATAAAAATTATATCACCTATACTACAGAGATAATATTTTTATTTTAATCAAATCACTGAATACTACATGACAAGTGACTATCCTGAGTCAGTATCATTTGATTGAAATGAATTTTATATTTGATTTTATATTGAACGCAAAAGCTGGAGTTGACATTGGGTCCTTAATCCATGAAACGAATCGAAAATAGCAGTAATCGAAACCACAACATGATAAGTTTTGATAGCAGCATTCACAAAAGCATACCAACCCTCAGCTGTGATGTGACTATAGAATAAAAATTTTGATATGGGCAATTTAGTTCAAAATAATTTTGTGAGATTAATTTTGTGCAATTCATTTTAGATTTAATTAAATTTAATACAACTTGATTTTAGTTATAATCAATTCTATATAATTATTTTTCTACAATCGAATTAAAATTTTCTTTTCAAACCAAACATATAAATATAGAATTTAACTAACTTTTGTAGCATGTGTTTATTAGCATATAGGCAATATCACTATTTAATTTTAAATCGAAATCGAAATGGTCAAAACTGAAACCAAACTGCGGTCAACGGTCCCCTTTTTAAATTATAACTGAAACTATTTGTTTATAGTTTGATTTCGGTTATTCATTTTAAAAATTAAAACCGATCGTTTGGGTTATAAAACAATAGTTCCAAAATGAAACCGTAAAAAAATACTTTCAAAAGAAATCTTCTAATTTCAGTTTTTAAAGATTCATTTTCAGAATTCAGATTTTTACATTTTTCTTCAAGATGTTTCAGATTTTCAGAAAATCTATTATTACAATCTTTTTAAGATCTTTGATCTGTATGATAAGATCTTTGCATGTAACTTCTTGATAAAAAGCATCTTTCAAATGATTACATTTAGTTTTTAATTTTCTGATAGAATTTTATGCTTTCTAACAAGCTTTTTAAATTCACTGCAAAGATTATTGTAAGTATCTAGAAGATCATTTTCTGTTTCAGGTTCAGAAATACTTACAGTGCCTTCTTCATGCTTTTGAACCGTTGCATCTGTTTCATTGATTTCAACTTTCTATGTTGAAGTCAGAGTGCTGATTTCTTTGGAGTCAGAATCAATAGTAGCCATCAGACAAATATGCTTCGGCTGTAACCTCCTGCTATTAGCAAAAAATCAACAATTGCAATGGCGAAAAGTTTATCTTATTTCTCTTATTTATTATTTATTGGATTATTCTAAATGGATAGTACTTAAATCTTCTTCTTGGTATACAATTCATTTAGGAAGTAGCCTTCTTCTTTCTTTTTCTTTCGTCATGAAACATAAAATTTCTTCTTCAGACGATTTCGATTTCACTATTATTTTAAAAATCACCTAAAAACAGTTTAGTTCCGACTTCATTCTTTTTATAACAAGAACCATGCTCATCCCTGTTGGTGTAACCTCCTGCTATTACAAAAAATCAACAATTGAATGGCGAAAAGTTTATCTTTTTTTTATTTATTATTTATTGATTATTCTAAATGATAGTACTTAAATCTCTTCTTGGTATACAATTCATTAGAAGTTTGCCTTCTTTTTTCTTTTTCTTTGTCATGAAACATAAAATATCTTCTAGTGGCATTGATTTCCTTCTTTCCCTATAAATAATTATATACTTACCTAATCCTTTTTGTCCTCCTCAATGCTCTTCTTTTTTCCCTCGAGAATCTTAATAATAAATTCTAAGTTCTCTCAAAAAAAAAAAATCTTAATATTTAAGCCTAATAGTCTTGTTTAATTGTACAACCATACCGTTTTAGTCTTTTAGATGGAAAATAATTATTTCATCTCTAAAATTTGCCATAATTATCTAAGTAATCCTAATCATTTTACAAATATTTATAACATTTTTAATTTTTGCTTCTGCCATTTCACTTAGTCATTTTGTCCAAAAAATACACTTTTATTGTTAATTTTAAAAGAAAAAGAAGAAATTAACCTTCATAAATTTTTTATTCTCATTCTTGTCAATCTTTCTCCTCTAAAGTACCTAAACTTCAAATTCCCAACGTCTTTCTCAACCTAATACCGCTCTCTGTCGCCATAAACCACAATGTTGTCCATCAACCATTATCTCCATCACCAAATCACATTAAAGCTAAAGCTTTACATCCAAACCCAAATCGTCATCAACCTTCACCAATATCTCTCTCTCTCCTTCATTCTTCGACCACCTCTTCGCTCAAAATCCCTAAAACGAAATCCCTATCCCTCTAGTACCAATTCATCCAG